TTGTGGTAATGTCTTAGGTGCTGGGGATATGGCAGCACCTGTCATGAAGTAGACATTCTAGCAATGAGTGACAGACAATATGCATGTATACAAACATATGTGACTTTTTGGGGGGCAGGGGCGAGTGCTGTGAAGAAGATAAAGCAGGGCCATAACACAGAAGATGACCCAGGAATTGGATGGGTGGAGGCAACGTTAGGGAAGGTGATCAGGAGGCCTCTCCCAGGAATAACAGGCAGGTTGACAATGCGCCACCGAGACCTGGGGGAAGGCTGCTCCAGGCAGAGGAGCAGCGAGTGCAAAGGCCCTGCGATGGAAAGGGCGTATGTGTGTGGGACAGAAGGAAGGCCCGTGGGGGTGGAGCAAATGCGGAGGGAGATGCAGGTGACCAGGTTGGGGAGGGCTGTGTAAGCCCAGATAAGAGTTTTTACAGCTCTGAGGTTTAGAGTCAAAACAAAAACCCAGTTAAGCACATTTTTTCCCCCTTATGCTTTGTAAAACACAAAGGAAGACTGAAAATCTACACCCTCCCCCCAGTGGCTACACTTTGTTATGTAAGAACCAACACCTTCTTTAATCTGTTGCCAGAGCCAGATACACTTTGCATCCTAAACAAGCTGCCAGAACAAAGCCGAAAGCTGGGCTTAAACTTTGTCAGGGGACGTTCTAAACTTGGCAAAACCCAGGTCTCCATCTTTTCAAGTATGTTTGTTTGGACAAGGTACACGGATATAAGCACGGATGCAAGGAGCCAGCTGCAGGGAACTCAGACGAGCTAACACAATTCTTATTTAGCAACAAGGAAAGATGAAAGCAGTCTCAAGTGTAAGCAAACATGCCTGATTCATCTAATGTTTACAAGCAAAAAAGACCTCGATATGAACAAGCAATGCCCAGGAGGACTCAGGCATGTATTTGCCAAAAAACGTTCTGGGCTTGGTGAACGAGAAGAGCGGCGGCGTTTGGGTCCCCTTTATTAGGGGTCCCCTTTCCTCCCAGGGCCACACCTTAAGCCTCTGTAGCTTGGGGCACTGGTGAGACTCATTCTTGCTCCTCTAGACTCATACCAGGGGCTCTGCTTGGGAAATGGAGCTGGGCTCAGTCTGTGAACTTCAGCTTAAGATAATCTTTGGCTTCTTTCTCTCACTACTATGCTTTCCTTCTGCATGTTCCTCACCTGGACACCCATGTCCTCACACCAGGTTCAAGCAACATGGATCATTTGAAGCAGCAGCATTCTCATTCCTCAGTAAGACGCTCCCAGTCCCCTAAGACTAACTACATCCTTAAAGTAAACAGGGTCTATTTTTTCTCTGTGCTCTAAGAGTTCTTTCTTTTGACTGGATCATTTTCTTAAACACAAAGCGGTTGGGAATGCTCTGCCTCTGGGTGAAATCCCAGGGTTGGACCCACAAGGCTGCCTTAGCCTGTGGGGCCCTGAATAACAGTATAACAGCGGGATTTTAATTTCTGGGCCTCATGAAGAAAAATGTATAAAGCTCTTCCTCTCCAAATTCTCCAAACCACAGACCCCCTTTCCCTGCATCCTTAAAAGATCCCTTTGGTAGCCCCTCAGCATTAAAAGCTGGTGGGGTGGGGATTGGATTTCTCCTTTTGAAAAAACAAAACAATAATAATATGCAGAACAGCCTCTGTGGACAGGACACAGGCTGCAGACACGTGAGCTTCTTGCAGACCAACCTCCGAGGTGGTCTTTCTATGGGAACCACTGACATTCAATTGTTTATTAACTACTGAGCAACCAACATGGGCAGGTGCTGTGTCATATCCTGAGGATAAAACAGACCTAAAATACCAGCCTGCTCTGCACTCATGGGTCTTGGGTCTACTGAATGTGGGGGAAAGGGGTG